GCGTGCGTGCGTGCGTGCGTGCGTGCGTGCGTGCGTGTGTGTGTGTGTGTGTTGTTGTGTGTGTGTATGTGTGTGTGTGTGTGTGTGTGTGTGTGTGTGTGTGTGTGTTTGTGTTTGCGTATTAGTGCAAGGTATATGAATGGTCTTGGCAAAACCGAAGGAATTTTTTACATCATATTAAAACTACATGTCGATACCGTGTGCTACTTAAAATGCAAGCACCTTATAAAAACCAATAGAGCAGCTGTTAGAAGATATGCTAGCGGTCGATTTCATTCAAACTTAAAATGTTTCTCGTACATCACGTGACTAAACGATGCAGGAATACTAAGTCGATACGATACTTCTCGCAAATACTTTCGAAAAACAAATCAGCGATACAGATACTTCTATCATAACCATTAACGGGCATTTTTTTTTAATTTCCGACGGAAGTATCGCTTTATTGAATGCCATTCTTTTCTATCATGACTCGCTTGCGTGCCATACGTTTGTTAGGTCCGCCCTAATACTATGTGTTAATTCTCCCTATAAACTATATGCAAATGTTCTATCACTATCAGTGAACGGACTAACTTTATTTTTTGTGCTGAACTAGAATCGTATTCGCGGACATCATCGTCCATACGCCTGCAACACGTGTGGGCAGTGACAAAACTCGTTCTGCATAAAGATTCTAATTAAAACGGCGATAATAACTATTTATTGTGAGACCGCTAAATAGTCGCGCTGTTTAATTATCAGAGTCATCAGATAGCGTAAGATATACTCTGCCCTTCTAGTCGTCTACCTGCACGGTATATACACATCATGTAGGTTCATATGCGCATAGATGGTACTTCATATCCATGGCACGGAGGTTAAAATATACACAAATACCTCGTAGACTGCAAAATTTTATCCCACATCAAACTAGTCCGGGCCACGCCCGGACTAGACGAGGGCTAAATCGCAACGTACAGACGCAAAATTCTAAAGCATGCTAAGTTGACACGGGTTGACTGCGCATGCTCAGTAGCTTGTTACGTCACTCAGCAGACAGATACTGTAAGTTTATGCGCATGCATATTGCGAAATTGAGCGCGGGCCAGGCCTCAATTACGTCCACACACACAGCTAAGCGCGGTGTAAGCGGCCTGACACGCTTCAAAGTGGGCCTGGCTCGCCTTCATTTGCGGGGCCAGATTAGTCCGTACTAGCGCGTTGTTAGCGCGGGATAGCGCTTACACACTGCAAAAAATAGTATCAAATTATTTGCAGTCTGTATACGGGGTATTAGACGTTGCTAATGACGTGATGCGGTCGGGATCAATACGTTACTACTGTTACGCGCGCAGCACTGCCATAACTTATGTTGTAGTTAATACAATCAACGCTATTCTTGCGCCACTTATATACCGCAAAGGAGAGATAACGACCGACCATAGGTCATAGTTACCCTGCTAATAACATTAGGTAAGTAGAAGGACGCACGTACGCCACTGCATTTCACAGTTGTTGGCGGGTACAGACGTGCGTATTTTCTGTGCTGTCATTACTCACATTCCAACGAGTCCAACGAGTCCATAATTCCATCGCGTTGGTGTGGGTCGCTGCAGGGATAAGCATTATTCACATATAATACTTATTTCATTTTATATTATCTAATAGAATTTCGAGTGTTGGAATAATAACTGAGTCGATTGCAGGGTTATAATTCACCAAGTTTCATTTATCATCATGCCATGGGGCATTCACATCTCAAGATTACGTTGCGTCCAATAGAAGAGAAATGACCTAGAAAGATCCTATGTCATTCTGCTCAACCAAGCCCTGCTGTTTGCATACTGAATGAATCGTTTACACACCATAGCGAATTATGGTCTTCAACATAAACATCAGGAAAGGATGTATTGACGTGAATGGTAATAGATATCCTGGGCAGCTTTAACAAAATAGCTTGATGTTTA